GGATTTAAACTGATTAAGATTATTTAGTATCCTTAATTCACTCAAATCAGTTAAAATAAAATAAAAATTCAGATTTTATCTTCTTCTTTTTTCAACATTTCTCTCTCTTCAATTTGCAACAAAAAAAATTCAACGTTTCTCTCTTCAATTTTCAACAAAAAAAAATCCCACATTCGAGTAATTAAAGTTTTTTTCATTTTTGAATATTCTTGATTTTGTTGTGATGGACAACTACATATCAGTTTTAATCAAACATGGTGAAAGATGGGATCCTTCGGGTTAGTATTTATTATTATTTAACGTTTATTTTAGAATGATAGCGAAATGAAACAAAAATGATCAAGCTGTCGATTAATTGAAGGTGGAATCATATTTTGTTAACTGTTGATATCATATTATGTTTACTGTCGTGAAATGTAAAAAATTTAGTGTTTTTTTTTGTTTATTTTGTATACAGTTGTTGTTTTGTGAAATTATAAATTTAATGTGATTTTATGAATAAATTAAATGAAATTTGTATGAAAGTGTGCTAATTATTCTGTAAAAATAATTTAATTATAATGTTGACGAATTTATGAAAATTTATTTTATTTGATAATGAATTTGATAGTATAAGTCGAATGAATTATGTATGAAAAGTGTTTTAAGAAATATGTAAAAAAAAATTGAAATTCTTGACGAAGTGTATTACAAGTGTTTTAAATTGGTATTAAATATGAAATTGTTGAGTTTATATTAGTTTTGTTATTTCTGTATAAAGTTGGGTGACAGTAATTAATTATTTGGAATGAGAAATGTATATAGTTTGAATGAATAATCGTTTTGTATGAAATGTGTATTAAATGAGTATGAAAATGTATAAATTTGGTATGAAAGATGATTGTTGTATGAAATGTGTATTAAGTGAGTATTAAATGTGAAATATTATGTTTTGTATGAAATTTGTTTTGTAATGTACTGTCTGAATGATATTTGTATGAAAAAAATAATGACCAGTGTGTATAATTTTGTTGTTATTATAATGATTTTTATGGATGAAAATTGTATTGTCTTTGGAATGAAAAGTTAATATTATTTAACATATTTCTAATTGATTTGTATAATGCTAGACTAATTGTTATTCTTTTTAATGAAACAGAGAATTATGTTGAAAAATGAATTATATATGAAAGAGGGTTGCTGATGTGAAATTCAAAAGGTCCAAAGTTACTTGTAGTAGATGTTGTCAAGTTGGCCACAACATGAAGCATGTTCAAATTATTCTGTGCAAAACTAATGACTGTTTATTTGTTTAGACTATATATAATTTTTATTTTATTTTGTCGTTTAGATTAATGTTTTGTTTTGATATGAAACATAATTAGTTTGAAGTGCATTATATACTTAGTGTTTAATATACCGTTCATTCTTTATACACGGTTCATTCATTAATCATACAGATTGCATATTGTTAAAAATAAAATTTATTTCAGCTTAATACATAAGATAGTGTAAATATTAGTGATAATTATAAAATGTAATTATGGTATCCTGAGTATTTAATTTAATGTAAGTTTACATGAATATTAATTTGGTTTTCAATTGGTGTCCTACTATAAATACATTTAAAACAAATTGCAGTTAGTGTTTCATTCCCAAACTAACTTCAGTTAGTGTCATACACATATTAATTAATCAAAATTTCATACACGTTTTATCCAAACAACATGTATAAAAATTGATAAATTCATATAATCACACAATTTATACCATTTGTATATCAATATTATATCACAATTATACAATATCCAACAAAAAAATATTAAACTCATAGTCATACACGTATTAATCAGATTTCATACACGTTTCATCCAAAAACATGTTTAGAATATAAAGTAAGCATAATGTGATTTTTTTCTAAAAAAATCAGTAGTTTGACAAATCATACCATTTTCATACCAATTTAATAATTTATACCATAAATACAGTTAATAGATAATCACACCAATGTTAAAACGCAATTCGTACCATTATTATATCACAATTCATAAAATTTTCAAAATCAAAACATTAAAGCATAGTCATACACATATTAATCAGATTTCATACAGATTTCATCCTATAAATGTACAGTTTGGAAACACACTGATATTTTCAAAATAGTATCTTGAAATTGTAATAGGCAATCAGTAATTCATATGTAAACGATATCTGCCTGAAAGAAAACATATGATATTATATATCATCAAATACTTAAACACAAAAAAATTGTCCAAAAGTTAAAAAAAATAACCTTTTGTTGTTCTTCTTGTTGATGATTTTGAAGATGCTCCAACTTCTACATTTGTTTTTTTTTCTTTTTGATTTCAGTAACAAAATCAAAATCGGAATCAGAAGGGGTTTCAACAATTTTCCCCTTCCTCTTCTTCCCCTTTTGGCTTTTTTTTTTCTTCACCCAATATAGGACTCTTTCGAGGCGTTTCAATGGATTTCTTAGACATAATTTTGTTGGAAAAAAATTTGGACAAAAGATTGAATATTGGTGTAATTGGCTAGTGAGAAAAATGGGAGAGAAGAAGGTGAAAGTGGGGTGATAGTGTATATAGTTGGATAGGTGTGGGGGAAGGGTGGTGGGATTGACTAATGAGAGGTTATGAGTATAACATTAAATAAGGAAGTGTAATCAATGTAAAATCCCTATAATTGTGTAAGAGATAATTATGGGGTATTCTTTATTTAAATAATTTAATAATAATATAAAATTATAAAAAAAATTACTTATTTAATAAAGTAAAATTTAATTAATTTATAAATAATTAGTGATATGTTATGACCCATAATTAAATTGTTATAAATAAGAATTTTTTAAAAGTAGATTTAAAACCTATAATATTGACTCTTAAATGTGTATATGAGGTTATTTTTCCTTTATTATTTTATACAATTTTCCCAAGTTTAAAAGACCAACCAGGAAAACAAGAACAATAGCCAAGCCCAAATAAGAAGCAAAGTCCATAAAAGAAGCCGAGCCCATAAAAGTCATCACGAAATCTAATTTTTGAATCTGAGAAAATTTGGTGGGATCAGGAATGACCAGTTTTTGCCACTGTTAGTTTTTGTTACTACTTAAAATACTAATTGAAAGTAATAGTTATTGTTAATATACAAAATTAAAAATAATATTTTTATAGATAAAACACAATAAACTTACATTCAAAATTTTACAAGTGAAATTCTTGCCCATTACTATGAATTTTCAAAAAAATTGTTGACGTTTCAAATATATTGTTCAAACTTAGATGTATAATGAGATATGGCAATTTTTCATGGAGTTTGAAATATCACAATTCAAATTTCATAAATTTTTCATGTAGTTTTGGACTGCTATATTTTAGAATTTAGTGTTCTTTGGATTTTTTTTAAAGTTTTAATTTGATAAATGTTCAGAGTTCACTGTCCAGTAAAATTTCATAAGGATTTTTTGTATTTTAGCTAAAAGTAGTTATATCCAAATATTATTTAACTATTTTTATGATAATAATTAAATCTTGATCAATAATCTAGAAAATACTATGACTAAAAGTTTCTCAATTTTTATTATAGCTATTGCAACGGTTAAAGCAACTATTGGTCTGACTATTGTTTCATAGGAAAAGAGTCTGATATGCCTCTTAACTTTGTTATTTAGTGTTGATATACCATTCGTTATGAAAGTGACTCATATATACCCATACTTGTATATAAATAGCTCACATATATCCTTTTCTCTAACGGAAATTAAAAAAGTTAATTTTAGTTTAATTTATTATTATTATTATTATTTTTTAAAGAAAAATATAATCCCATATGAGTATATTTAATCCTCCTCAAACATATTTTTTTGGCTTTTTTTTGTTTCAATTACTAATTTAGATTTATTATTTTGATGTCAAATTTATTTATGTTTCACTAATATTCTTGTAAAACTTATTATAGATGAACAAATTTTTTTCTTCAAATACAAAAATTAAATTACAATATAGACAAAAAAAATAGTTTTAAATTATAATATAGCTACAAAAAATAGTTTTAAATTTTTTTCTTTACGCTAAGGAATGAAAGAAAAAAATAAAATAAGAATAAGAAACTCAAATAATTATAATCAAAGAAGTCAAAAAGTAATTTATGTATGAGAAAAATTAAAATATACCTTGAACTTTGCTAGAAGAATCATATATACCCCTAAATAATTTTTATGAAAATTAAAAGTAAAAAATATAAATTTAAAACTAATTTTTTCACTTCTGTTAAATGAAGGGTATATGTGAGCTCATTTTGTAACGGTAGGGATATATGTGAGTCGTTTGTATAACAATAAGGGTATATATGAGCTACTTTCATAACAAGGGACATATCAACTCCAAATGATAAAGTTGAGGGGTATATCAGGTTCTTTTCCCTTGTTTCATTAATAATTTACAAATCAACTCGCATCAACCAATCAAATTTGTTAAATAGTTAATATTAATCATTATAAATTATGATATTGAAAAGACGATTTCAATGAGCATGTTTATTATGTAGGATATGATCTTGTTTGCAAAACATATGAAATCAAAGTATTTTGACATCTGCCATATTATCTCATAAACCAATCTAGAAAGGAGTTGATTGGGAAATTATGATAACGAGTTGATTCATCTCATTCGTGAACAACAATTTTTAGCTCTGGAACTGAATCAGAGCAAGTATTAGTAACATAATAAAAAAACATTCTTTGTCATTAGTATCTTTGCTCGTAACAATTGTGATCTCTCGGGAGAATTAATGACTGCATAAAAAATACAGTGCTAATACATTCGAGATTTTTTAATTGTCTAATTGTAAATAGCCCCATAGCTATGAAACAAAGGATTAAAGGATTATGTCGAACCTAGATTGAGGAATTGATGGGGATTTTCTAATCTAATCAAATTAGGAAAATGTTTTTTTTTTAATTAAAAAATAAGACAAATGTATTACTTTCCGGCCCAACTCCGGACTCTTCCTCAACCCAATTACCCCAACAGCTCACGACGGAACCCTCGAATCTCCAATTTTTTCAATCTTCGAAAACCCCTAATATTTCATAACTTCGAAATCTCAATTCATTGACTAAAAACCTTAATTGAATCGTAATGGCATCACAGAAGAAGGAATCGGAGGGAATCGCTCTACTGTCTATTTACGGCGACGACGAAGATGAAGACATGGAAGAACTTGAAGAAGAACAAAGGGAAGAAGATGCACAAGAATACAGACCTGAATCACAAAACTTAGCCATTACAATGGGCACAGATTTCCAAGATGACAGCAATAAAGTTTTCGGGTCTGATTCAGGTCGGAGTTCGACTCCTTCACCCCTAATTCAACAACTTCAGCAACAACAGTCTGTTGAAAATTTCACACCTAATAAGGTTTCGAATTTTGGTGTTGGTTCTACCACTACGACGCCATTAGTGTCCGTTTCTTCCCCAAATCCTCAGCCAATGGAGATGAATTTGAATGTGAATGTGAGTAGACGAGCAAGGCTTACTATTGTTGATTATGCTCATGATGAAGTTACCATGTCACCGGAGCCTGAGGTACTTATTTTTATGCTCTATTTTGTGTTGGATTTTGCTTTTTTTTTTTATGCTTGTTCAAAACGGACTGAAAAGAAGATGAGAAAATTAAGGATTTTGGCTTTTAGATTATGCTAGAAAACTCATGTTTAATGGGATCCTATTAGAGAGTTATTCATGTAATGAACCTATGATTTAGGAGTTGATGTGAGTTTTTCCTCTCTCTGTAGGAAGGAGAAGTAATGGCCAGTGGAAGAGTCATGTACGGAGCGGAACTTCAAACTGTTAGTGGTATGTATGGTTTGTGTTTTCTCTATTCAGCTCTGCCTCGTATGCTGTTTTGCTGTTTTGTTGTTATGGCCCTTGCTTGACTGCTTAGTTGAATTGACCTAGGAGTAATGCGATTTTAGGTTTCATTAGGGTAGACTGAAGACCTAGTATGGTTACATTGTTCAGGATAGGCAACTATTGTAATTCAACCAATTTTTTTTCTCATTCCGCCATCTTAATTTTGTATGACTGTCTTTCCTAGGGAGTGGCACCTCTCCATTTACAGAAGCTGTTTTTTTATAAATGTGGCGTCCACGACAACTTTTGTGCATCTCGACTAATTTCCCATGATAGGCGAAAAGGAGAAATGGTCTGATAGGCCCTTGGGTTGGATTGTAAATTGGATTGTCAAACTGAACACTTAAACTCAATGGATCACAATATTTTAAACACCTCTGACCATTGACCAAACTCATGTGGCAATAAAATAGCTGAGTTGGAAAAGTGCGTGATGTACACGCGGATTAAGAGCGTGAATTGATACTTTTCATTATAAATACACATATAATTAGGAATTTTCTGTTTTTAAGAAAGGAAAATAAATTATCTCCTTCCTCTTCTCATTCTCTGTAGAGAAAAAAAATTAGGTAGCGCCGCCCTAGGTTTCTCATCTGTAGAAATTACTCATCCTTCAAACATCCCACAACAAACATACAAATTGAAAAGAAGAAAACTTTTCCCATTGAAAGCTTAAATCAGAAATTGGTTATATGAAATCAAAAAGAAATAAATGTACAAATCCATTTTTTGTTTGAATGGTTCTTTGGACTGATTTATTTGTCTTCGAATAAAAAACGGGTTACATGATTTGAGCTTTTAATTTGAAGATTCAAATTGGAAACTTCTCTCTAAAATTGAAAGCTCAAATCACAAGACTATACGGGCTGAATCGAGGTACCTGATAACTCGGCTTCAGATTGGGACGACTGAGCTGTTGGACTCGTTGCTTGGACTGTTATAGGAAGATGACAAGAATGTATTGATTGCAATAGCTCAAGGAATCGTCCCGTTGCTGGTCCGTTTACTCGATTCCAGTTCTTCACCAGAGATCAAGTAGAAAAATGTGAGCGCTTTTTTTTGTCTCAAAAAAGGGTGGGGTGGGAGGTGGGTTTGGATTTTGTGGGGGGGGGGGGGGGGCTAAAGGTGACCAGAAGAGAAAGGGGATGGGGAAAGGAGGTACAATGAGAGAGAGAGAAAATAGCATTTTTGACATATTATTTATTTTCTTATATTTAATTTCTGACGTGTCATTAAAAAATGTCGTGGATTTCACGTGTATTTGGTTGTATTTACGCAAACCATGATCAAGTGAGAAAAGGATGTAAAATATTGTGTTTCATTGAGTTTAAGTGTTCAGTTGACAGGGTCGTAAGTAGAAGGGTCCAATTTACAATCCGACCCAAGTATAAGGGCCTATCAAACCATTCCCCCCCTCCCCAGGATACCTGCAACCTTCCACTAACAATAGCTACCAGGTAACTCTGCCCGCTAAGGCTAGGATAGATGGGAAGAAATCACCTAGTGTTTTTTGTCTCTGCCGGTATTTGAACCAGAGGTCGACCTCATGGCTCTCAACTCACTTCATTGACCACTAGGCCACACCCTTGGGTGCCCATTTACTGAAACTTTTTATAATCTCAATTTCCATTTTCCTCTTGTTCACGCACTCTTATAAGAATTGATATGACTTGTTGTGGACTCCACTTAATATTGAAAGAAAGTAAGTCTGGCAAGATACTTTTGGTATGCATATTTAGTTTATGTGTCAAATTTTTTTATTTTTTTTAATTCCCATATCCAATCAAATAATTCAGAATGAAATGGGACGAGGGAGTGTTTATGAGCTTATCCAGAAAGTACATTGGAGCAACTTTTGGGTTAAAATAAATCATTTTTAGCTGGTTAGCTTGTCATTTGGTAAGAAGTTGACACTTAGAGTTTTTGATCCATATAATTGATATTTATGTAAAGAATGTCTTTCATATTTATAAAGTTGATGTATATATTCCGTACGAAACAGGATTGGCTAATGTAACTCCAATCATCAAAGTCAAAACTATAAAGATAACTCTATCTTTTTACTTACCTTATTAATTTGGAAGTTCAAGCTTAAAAATCTTTCTCTTTTCTTTTCAGTTGAATTTATGGAAAAGGCTTCACCAGCTCTTCAGGTTAGAACACCTAGTACTCAAACCCCTCCTCAGTCAGCTGAACCAACTGATCAAATGGATGATACTATGGACTTCGCTGTTAATGAAGGACATGGAGTAGCTGAAGAATCTGTTATAGTTCCTGCAGAAGAAAAAAAAGAGTTAGATCTGTTGGAGAAATTTCTTCCTCCTCCACCAAAGGAGAAGTGCTCAGATGAATTGCAAGTAAGTGGTGACAGTAGTATTTTTCAGAGGATACTAGAAATATGCTTACATAAAATGTATATGCACTATTCTGAGGTTGCCTGAGTTTTCTCTAATAGACGTTGAATGGATACTAGAAATATGCTTACATAAAATGTATATGCACTATTCTGAGGTTGCCTGAGTTTTCTCTAATAGACGTCTATGTTGAAGCTTGCATCTTCAGACTTGTTTCTGTAGTGTACATTTAGATGATATTGGTAATTTATATGTGTCTTGCATTATATATTTTTTATTATGGCTTTTAAAATGATTTTGCATTTTATGCAGCGCCTTTCTGTAGTAGTTGGTGAAGGAATGTTTACATGTGGACTGGCTGACCATGAACTCTGTGCTCGCTAAATCTCTCTCTCCTCTCACAGACAGAATGTCTCAGTCTATCTCTCCCTCTCACTCACACACACACACACACACGAAGATTGCATTTCCTGTAATTTTGTCTCTAGATTCTTATCCCTTCAGATACTGACAATTGTTTGTAAAAGCTGTCTGTCTTCAGTTACCGTGGCATTGGATGCTCTGTTGTCTTTAACTGATATATTCTGGAGCTTAACTTGCAATTTATGTCCTCCCAAATGATCCCTTATAACTTCTACAGTGACTCTGATCATTTTTGTCTTCCCTTCCAATTTTATGTGTACCGTACCATTTATGTATAAGAAGGCCTTATGGTGTTTACCCTGTTGCATAGATAATTGATTTGGCTACTTTGCTTTCAATTGTTACACTCTTTTCTTGTCAATTCATTCTGCAGGAGAAGATCATGAAATTCCTTGCTCTAAAGAAGACTACTGGCAGAAGCTTTAATGCAGAAGTACGCAACAGAAAGGAGTATCGGAATCCAGACTTCTTGCTGCATTCAGTGACTTATCAAGATATTGACCAGATAGGATCTTGCTTCAGTAAAGATGTATTCGATCCGCATGGATATGACAAAAGTGACTTCTATGATGAAATAGGTTACTAGCAATATAATTTCCGATTTCTGTCTTATCTTTCAGCTAGACATATCTACTTTTGTGTGGCATTGGTTATAGAATGTTTAGACAGTTTTCGCTACTTCCACTGTAATGTTTTTGTTAACAAAATAGTTCATTCTGTGAATCTGGAACGATTATGACTACGAATATGGAGGAATCTTATGTAAGCGATGGATACTTAGTGGATCTAAAGTGTTTGTCACAAGGATTCTGACGGTGTGTAGCTAATACTATACTTCCCTTTCCAACTTATTGTTTGGAGCTAGTGTAAAGGATATTTATTTCTTTTGAGGTTAAGCTTTCATGAAATTTGGTCTGTTTCAGTGTAAGAGTAATTTTCCTCGAATTTATGGATAATTTCTTGTCTTTGAAGTATATCTTGAGTATCATACTTTATCCATAAGAAATCTTGACTGGAATATTTATTTTGTAAACAGAGGCTGACTCAAAGCGTGAAATGGACAGAAGGGAGCAAGAACGGAGGAGGAGTCCAAAAGTTGACTTCATATCCGGAGGAACACAGCCTGCACCAATGGTTCCTACACCAAAAATCAACCTGTCGATTCCAGGTTACCCACCTTTCTTCCTCGAGCCAAAATTTCTGTTGAATTGGTTGAGTTCTCTGCATTACTCTTTGCTCTCTGAATTCTTTGCAGGGATGGCTCCTGTTGCTGCTGGTGCATTACCGCCCACTGTAGATGTTGTAACTAGGGATGGTAGACAGAACAAAAAGTCAAAATGGGACAAGGTTTTCATCTGCAAAGTCTCAATTAATTGCATTGATTATAATTTATCTCCAATGTCTCTTGTATTGTAATCCTCAATGCTACCTTTTCAGGTGGATGGTGATCGGAGAGACCCTGTTTCTGCTGTTGGTGCACATGCAGCACTTCTATCAGCTGCTAATGCTGGTGCTGGTTACACTGCATTTGCGTAAGTTCCTTATAACTCCCATTTTTATCTGTATTACTGTAGACTCTAGTTATTTTAGAATTTTCTTTCCATCACTCCTCCCCTCCCCTGGCTGCACTATGGGATGGGAAAGCCTTGGATCCGTAGGGTGGACAGCTACTTCCTAGCTATCTAATAAAAATGAGGCTCGTGTATTACTTTCTAAAAAATAAATGATGTCGAGTATAGTGGATTAAAAATGAAACATGTTGTTCAAGTCCCATACTTATCTCAAAAAAAATGTTGTTCAAGTCCCATATTTTTTAATCTTTTACATATTGTGGCGAACCATAGGTTCCTCTAAGATATACCTTGTTGGAAGTGTGCAAATGTTTAAATAGGTTGAGCACCTGCTTTGGCTGACCTAGGGGCGCAACTTCAGTCCATATAAGGTGAAAGGAAACCATTTAACCCATATTTATTTATATGGATCACTCATATTTTCTAAATGGGTAAATATGGGCTAATCTATTTTAAGAGCTCATACAAATATGAACAAAATAGGTAAATTATGGGAATCCATATAGACCCATAGATCATCCACTCATAAGATTTTTTTTATTTTTAAAAATGGTGGTGGGCGCGGGAACGGGTGAGGGGTGGGTAGGATGGGCAATTTTTTTTGATATTTTTTAAATTGAAAATTGGGGGTGGGGGTACAGTGGTAGGAAAAAATAAATTCTTTTTTGTATGAAAAATTATTTTTAAAAAATTATTCTTTAAGAATAGGGGTAGGTTGGCAGGAGTTGGGTATTAACAATGTAGCTTTGATTTGATGTTTTTTGGCTTTAGGAGATTAAAGTGGGTTAGAACCATTTTACCCAAACCATATTTACCCATATTTTATATGGGTGAATTGTAATCCAATCCATTTTGGCTCAATCCATATTTAATCCATCCAAATCCGATCCAGTCCAACCATTTGCCACCCCTACTTTGGCCTTTGAGCAAGATTTAAGAATACTGGAAAATGGATATCTAGCCTCTTATTTATCTGTAGAATGGTGAAGTATTGGTTTCTTAGGAAATACTCCTTTAAAGATATTGGGATGCTCTTCTTTTCTTTTGGTGAAATTTTATCTTATCTTTATGTAGGTCGAGGCACTTTTCCTGCCTAGCTGTTGTATTCTTAATGTTTGTAATATCCATTTTCTGTTGAAATTTTTGACAAAAACATCTCATTCTCAAGTTCACATGGAACTCACTATACTCCCCTGCCTCCCCTGACAAAAACATCTCATTCTCACTTCACAAGGAGTTACCCGGCATTTGTGCTGTCTGTGGAATTAGTTGAGGAAAAAAAAGAGTTCCTTTACTTGGTGGATAGAGTTACTTGGTATCTATGTGGGTGGAGGTATCCCATGGAATTAGTTGAAGTGTGCGCAAGCTGATTAAAGAACTAAAAGGAGTTTCTTTAGATTACGCACTTCTTAGGACACTGCTATTCCTATTGAGGGGGTCTATTTTTGTTTTAGTCAAACTTGCAGGAAAAAGTGAACTTCAAATTACGGGGGTTACATCCTGAAATACCGGTCTAAGAGCTTTCACACTCAAATTATAGGAACAATCCATGGTGTAATTCATTCACACACACTTCTTAAACTTCTATTTAAGTTTCACTCCATATTGTTCCTGTGGGTCATGCAACCCTATCCTCAATGAGTAGCTAGTACTTGGGGACTTTATTGAAAAATGAGATTCATGTTTCACCTTTTTATTACCCTTTGAAGTCCATAAACCTTTTATCCTCCTTGTTTTCAGATGTAGACATGTTTGATGTTTCATTTAGCAGAGGGTGGAGTCATGTAGTGATGTTTAATTTTTGTTTTCCACAGGCAACAAAGACGCCGGGAGGCAGAGGAGAAGCGACCTAGTGACAAGAAGTTGGATAGAAGATCTTGACAATCTAATTTGACATGCTGACTCCTGAAAACTATTGCAGCCTCTAAAAGACATTATGGACTTGTGTATAGATGAGCTTTCTGTATTTTGTCCAACCCTTTCCAACACATCCAGTCCTGCACAAGTGTTGGCAAAAACAAAGCAGCTACCTTAGAGCAACAGTGCCTCATTTAGAGAGACAAATTACCGTCAACTCTGAATATTCCCATCTACTGTAAATTATATATACCCAGTTTTTATTTAGTATTGAAGTCGATTACAGGTTTTAAAGTTAAAGGAGTGTACCTTCTCAAAAAAAGTTAAAGGAGTGTAACCATGAGAGTCATTGGAAGAATTTTCAATACAAAGCTGGGGAGAGTAAATTGTATAAGTTTTCTTTTTGCCATGCGCGCCATAGATTGCAAAGTATTAAGCTGTACTCTTTGACTAGAGTCCTAAAAGAGCTGAAAATTTTCTATGTACTTTCTTTGAAAAGTTAGAGATACCCTGTTTTGTTTATCCAGTCAAATTTCATTATTGAGTTTATTGTTTGTTGTCATTCAACCGAAAGCAAATCCTTTTTCAAAAGGAACTCTTTAACGCCACTAGGACCCTACCTTAGACTTGTCTTCTCTTGTGAATAGTGAATTGTTATCCATATTCTGTGACCATTCTTTTCAAATTTTGTACGATTTTGAATTCTACTTATGCTTAACGTACATCGTGTGCTAAAAATTTCTGAAATTTAATCTTGGAAGTGTAATTTGATTTTTTAAAGTTGAGGGAACAATAATGGTTATTGCTTGTTGAGGCAAGCTTGTGCGTACGTTGATAATATATTTGTATTTCCATTTACTTAGTTCTTAAGAGATGTATTTAAATTTTTAAAACTAGAGTTTCAATGTATTTTTAATCCACGTCCTTATAGGCTGGCTTCTTTTTCTATTTGAGGTATATCTTGTTAGGTAAACTTGCACATTTAAAGTAGGGGAGACCCTATAATGTAAAGGAGCTTTTTTGCATTTTTAATTGGGAAAGTGTGGAGCAATCAATGGTTTCCAATGTCACACACACTTTCTTAAGCTTCTTTTAAGCTTTCCCTCCACATTCTTTTTGTAGGTCATGCAGTCCTATCCTTAATGAGTACACATAGCCAAATAATAATAATATTTGTATTCAATATTTGCATCAAATGAATGAAAGAAAGACTCTTGTTTTATATAGTATGAATTTTAATATCTTAGTATAGTTAGATGATATATATATACATTTCAATATAATACCTAATTTCTAGATCAAATTGTTTGATTTTGTATAAATGATAAGTGTGATTTTACTCGGTAGAATTCAAAGAAAAGATTTTTCTCAATGGCTCTTCGTGGCATGACAGCTAAAAAATCTCATACTCTTATCATCAATTACTCTTCATGCTATGTGACACTGCTATTATTTGAATAGTAAAAATATTTTTTAACATCTTTATATATGATACTTATTTTAATTTTTCAACTTTCATCTTGTTAACCGACTTAACTGTAATACTTGTAACATCTTGTTAACTGGCTTAACTGTAATACTTGTAAAAAAACAAGACGTTGAAAGGGTTCCTTTTCAATGAAATATGTGTATCCCATCATCAACCTAGGTCGATCAAAACTCAAAAGATGAACTACAAATGAAGAAAGACGTGGAAAAATAAATTTGACTAAAGTAATTGTGAGATTCCAATTCTTAATTGGAGGATACATGCCTCTGCCCTTTCATCATCTCCTGTTAAAATTGGAAACCCTCACTAATATTTTTTTCTCACTTAGGCAACTTGTGGAAATTCTTTTTATCTGGATTCTGGACTATGAAAAAGAAGAGTTAATTAGTTTTATTATAATTTTCCCAAAGTTCTTTCAAATGCACGTTTATTTTAAAAAATGAAGGCATCTATGCATTTAAGTAACTATCCTTTTAGACATTAATCGTACATACACATTAATTTCACCTCTTAATAAATTGGACATAGAGATAGGCAATCTGTCCTATTTTAAGTAACACAGTTTTTTTTAAATCACAAAAGAAAAGAAAAGATTGGCGTATTTTATATTTGAAACTATTTATTTGCTTATTCCAACCTATTTCGTATAGAAAAGTTCACACTTTTGTGGGAATATAAGCGAAAAATATGAAAGATATGTTACTTTCTTACTATAGAAAAACTATATTAACACTCTAACTCATTGTTGACGCAAATACTATTGGTACTACATATATTTCTTTTTTATATTTGACTTTCAATTATACACCACTATATAAAAAAAGATGAAGGAACTAAATATAATCTTTTATTTGTTTTAGTCATTTTTTAATCTTTATAAAATCAAACCTCACCAAGTTGGCTCTATCTTTATGAATGTTTGTTGGATTTGTATAGCAAGCAGTTATTATTGTGAAATGGACACAAGAGAGTAAAATCCCCCAATTTTCGCTGTTTTTGCAGGGAAAAAGTTGAGAAATTTTGAGCCCAAAAAATATTAAATACTAAAAATTATAATCTTTTAATAGGAGTAGTAAATAGGCACGAATATCTATGTTACTTTTTATTTATTTTGTCTTTGTACATAAAGAGAGACGTTGAAGATGTTGTAAGTTCCCTTTCACACGTTGGTCTTACTCAGACACTTCAAGTTCTGCATAAACTTAAAGAATCTTAATAATGTAATGTTTTTTAGATTCTATTTTCATCAATTATTTAATCTATGTCTTGCACTTTTCTATTCTTTTTTTAAATGCAAAGGTATAGACCATTTATGAGGATTTTATTTCAGGTAGATTATATTCAATAGTTTATTCACTACTACCATATTGCATTTGAAATGCAAAAATTCTTTTCCTAATTAATAAATATACACTTGTACTGACCTCTCTAATTCTTACTATTTGCTTATTATTTTTTTTAGACATGAAAATTGACTTATTTGAAAATTTTCTTTGTAAATTTCGTTAACTAGTAGTAATAAATTCGACAGATATATCTCTTTCTCATTTTGAAAGTATTGAAATCTGATATAAAAATCACATGAAATAGTGATACAAGGAACATTATTATATTAATAATTGAAACTCATGCTATTTTAGTTCATAGCAAAAATCTGATTTCATCTATCATTAGACATGATATCAATCTAATTCAAGAAAAAACATAGTTGACCATGAATAAGTCAAAACATTACAAGACATCCTCGTACCTGGCTACAATGAGTTGCAAGACAAAGATTTGGTCCATATATTGTGTCTCTTATCTAATCAAAATTCATTTTTTTCCAGCAACATATACTGTATTTTTAAGAAAGAATTTAAGTTTTATACCAATAGTGTAATTTTGTTTACACAATCATATCATTTATAAAATAATTATCGAACAATATCAATGATATACGATATAGTAGTTTGATAGAAAATTAATAACTAAATTATTATCATAACACGTTAAAAGTCACATATATTATTCAAACAATTTTATATGTTTTCAACTAATTATGCAGGTATTAGTTATATTGTTATTAACACTGGTGAAGCCACCTTACAATTAGGGGTTAATCCGAACCCCCTTCGGTGGAAAATTATATGATTTATAAATGGTTAAAATAATTTTTTAGGTATATATAATAGATGTCAAACCCCCTTCGACTACTTCGTGTGTCTATTTTTTCATATTTTAAACTCCATTATTGAAAATCTTGGCTTCGCCACTGGTTATTAGTTATGTGGGTATTACCTATTTCATCTTCTATCCCGTGTAAGATAATACATTAATTCTTTCATAATTTATATCTGTATTAATTATGCGAGTTTCTAAATTATAAATCAAACATCGTATTAATTTTATACATGAATAACTTACTATCAAACATTAATATAACTTATACATGAATTAATACATAGATCTCTTTACTAGCTACCAAACTATCCCTAATTTCTTTATGGAAAGTACAAAGTCACAAGGTGTTTTGAGTTAAAAGATGAAAAATTAAGAGGGTGCAGAATAACAAAGAAAAAAAAAAAAAAGTAGTACAGCACAGCAATGACCAGAAAGTAACGGTAACATGAGGTGTTTTTGGAAGTTCCTTAAGGGGTATTTCCGGAATATGTATACTAAAAATAAAAGTTAACGGACACTTTCACACACAAACTAAGACAAACAACACTAAATAAACCTTAAATTTAAGTAAAAATTCACTTTCAAAGAGTGGGTTGCAGGTGCTGCTCAATCTTTTTTTTTTTCTCAATCTCTCTCTTTCTATATATGATACATATCACATCAGCTTGACTTCTCTCTCTCTCTCTCTCTCCAATCACCTTTTTTTTTTCTTATTTCATTGTCTTAGCTTGTTTACAGCTTTTTACTTTGTTATCTCATTGATTTACTAAAACCCCACTTGGATTGAACAAGTATACATCTTTCTTGATTCATTTTTCTGATACCCATTTGAGTTTTTTGTGGAAAAAGATTGTTTTTTTAAAGGCAATGGCAGCTCCTCCTAAACCTGAAGAAATTAGTCATCCTCCACTGGACCAGCTTCAGGGTTTGGAGTATTGTATAGACTCAAATCCTGCTTGGGGTATGAAAAAGATTGAATCTTTTTTAATGAATGACCTTGTTTTTGTCATTACTGTTTGATTTCTTTGTGTTTTTTTTGCATGAGATGAATCTGTGAGAACTGAATTTGGATGTGTGAAACAGGGGAAGCTATTGCTTTGGGCTTTCAGCATTACATCTTGGCATTGGGGACTGCTGTTATGATTCCTTCATTTCTTGTTCCTTTGATGGGTGGAGATGATGTAAGCTAGTTTTGCTCAAGTTTTCATGTTCTTTTTTCTTCTTATGTCTAACTTCATGTGTTTTCATTGATTGGAATTTGAAAATCATTTAACAAGTTTTTCATGAATTAATTTTTTATTTATTTACAGTCAAAAGAATCAACTGTACTTTTTTCATGTGACTTGAATTTCAATGAACTTGGAGAAAGAAAAAACTTCTCCCCCATTTCAATTTGTTTGTACGGTCTTGACTTCATATGGAGTTTAAGAAAATAGAGAACTTTTTTGAATCTTTTGGTCACGTGGAAAGTTAGAATCAGAAATAGACAAAAGACAAGAAGAAAGTAGGACAAACAAATTTAAACAGAGTGAATATTAGTATGAATTAAGAAACTATTGATTTTTGGTTGAAGAATCTGGAGATTGATCATGTTGGTTTTTATGATTTCTGATTTTGATGTGCTCTTGTTTGGTGGCATTTTTTATTC